AGACTAGAGGGAAGGCAGCTAGTCATCACCACCCACCGCCAACTTTTTGGGCTACTCTTTTACCAACGAATAGTGGGATTGACCGTCACATTATAACGCCCCCACGGCTGAAAGGGCGAGCATGTTTGGTGTGACGGGGACTCGAACCCGCGACCGCAGATTGCGAGTCGAGTACCCTAACCACCTGGCCATGCCGGGCACACAACTAATGCATGGCGTAACTTTGCTATTAACAATAAGACTATATTATACTTTAACTTTTGTTTAGAAAAATTAGGTGTTTCTCATTTAGTTTACCACATTGTTTTTTTCTTATAGATATGACCCTGAATGCTTTATATGATTGATCTTGTCTGTGAGGATATATTATCTGTGAGGATATATTGTCTACTGCTTTAAAGGCGTGGTTCAAAAGTAACTAGTCCACGTGCAAATAGGAATTGATTGAAGCGTTCCTTACCATAGTTGATTAGTTACTGTATTCTTTCCAACGATTTTCTATCTGCCTTTGTTCTTCCACAACTGTGATCCCCAGATTTTATCAAACTAATTTCAACATTTCATTTTATGTCGCGGGCAGATTTTGTCTTGTTTTCACTACCATCTAAGGATAATATGTTCAGTTGTTTCACTCTGGATGGATGTCAGCATTGGAAGCTAGTGCTTCTGCTGCTGCCATCTATAGAGCGAATAGGGAACCTATGGCCTCTTCACCTTGAATTAATTTGTGGCTTAGTTCAAGCAGAAACGGTTTCTCAAAATTTTGTTTATCATGACCCTCTTTTTCTCGACCTTCGTACTCGCGTCCTTCCCGTCACCTACCTATGTTATATTATAACTGTAACACTAAAAGTTAAATTGTTAAACAGTTGTTTAAAACAAAGTTACGTCGCTGCAAATGCCCTAAGTTTGGATGAACAAAACTGTTCTATTCGTAGAGTAATATTTGTGAAGCACAAAATGAAGTTCTTTTCAACTGATATTCGGTTTCTGTATTTACCTTTAATGCTACTTTCCTTGAGAACTTTGAGTCACACAAGATCAAGTGAATGACACAACCAAGTCGTGGTTCTGTGATACAGAGACTAAATGGGAGATTCTAAAAAAAAGATGGCACTTTCTTTTGTGACCCTTTTTGAAATTTAAATTAGAAGACTGAAAACGCTAATTATTTGAATCCTCAAGAGACGGAAGTCCGTTCTGGCTAAATTTCATCTTTGCTGTGTTATACAACGACCACGCATATCACTATCCAATAATATGTATTTCATGTTTATAAAATTTAAAAATTTTCTAATTTGAAACATACTAAATAATCCGATCGAAGACATGTGCTAATTCAACTCTAGAAGTTATTATCTACGGCATGAGTTGGTTTTAACGACATTCTCTTTCAAAGAATACTTGTAAGGTATCCAACATTAAGTATTATGAATTATGAAATAGTTTTAGCAATTTCGGAGAGAGCGAGAGTAGTTTCTGCTTTAACATTATTAAACCCCGAGTCTAAACAGAAAGAAAACTATAAACAAACAGACATCTTACCATAAGTAAAAAAAAAAAGCAGATAACATGTAAATACCTTAAAATATTGGGAAGTCATAACACTATACGATTGCATATAATACAGAAGAAACTATCTAAAGATCGAACAGAAAGCAAAGACAGCATTTACAACATCTTTTGTGAATACATTAGAGAAACAAATAAGCCAACAAAAGTTAAAATTCAGGAACATGATAGGTATACAAGATTCTGTAAAACCGATCTATCTACAATAGTCCAACATGGCAGAGAAAAACCATATAGTTAAATGGAATAATACGAAAATAATATGATACGAACCACACATGAGATAAAGAAAGATTAAAAAACCTGGATATCCCTCTTGTTTATTCAAGCCCTAAGGGGGTATATATCCCTCTTGTTTATTCAAGCCCTAAGGGGGTATATATCCCTCTTGTTTATTCAAGCCCTAAGGGGGTATAATACCATGTACCAATTGATTATACACTAACATTTTTTATGAAGGTCCAGAAAGGAATTACTGCCACAAACACAATCCTTTTCCGGATTTTCCAGATCAGCAGCTGAAACGTGGGATATAAATTAATTAGTAATTAGAATCTAGTAATAAAAATTAGTTATTAATTATTATTTAGGCTTAGGTGATCGTATAAGCTACTAACCAGGATAATGAGAAAGGATCCACTAAATCCCTGACTTATCCAATTATGGATTCTGGCGATCTGTAGCGACTCAAGGTGCAAAATGTTGCATCAGTTTCAATGCCATTTAACATTCCAATGGTCCTTCATGAATATTATCTAGTGGGTATTTAGTCTAATACTTGTCCAAATAGAGTATTGGGAGTACCTTACTTATATATAGTTTCTAATTTAACATATCTTGCAATTAGTTAAATTAATTTTGGATTATTTTTAACCTTTTTTTTTTTGCAAGCTAACATCACTTCTAAGCGGAATAATACTATTTTATTTTGAATTACTTCTTACTTTTAAACTGTTTCTTTAATTTTTCACAAGTTCTCAAACTTTACCGTAACTAATAGAATTTTTTTAAACTTTAAACATATCATTTTATTTACTTCTAAATGATTTAAAATTTTCTGATGCCCTTCTACATCCAGGTGGTTAGATCGCGGGTTCGAATCCACGTCCCACCAAACATGCCAAACCAAGGATGGTTAGGTTTCACAGATGGTTGAACTTTCTTGTTTTCAGTATTCGACCACTACACCCCCCCCCTCCTCCCCATCTGAACTTGCTTCTCTTATAATCTATTTAATACACCCTGTTCAATGAAACTTTCCTTAAACCTTTCAGCCGTGGGGGCATTATAATGTGACGGTCAATCCCACTATTCGTGGGTAAAAGAGTAGCCCAAGAGTTGGCGGTGGGTGGAGATGACTAGCTGTCTTTCCTCTAGTCTTTCAATGCTAAGGTAGGGATGGTTATTGCAGATAGCCCTCGTGTAGCTTTGCTCGAAATTCAAACCAAACCTTCTACCCCCGTAGTTCTCAACCTGTGATCTGTGCAACGGTAAAGAACAATGTTCCATATTATAACCCCCGTAGTTCTCAACCTGTGATCGGTGCAACGGTAAGGAACGATGTTCCATATTATAACCCCCGTAGTTCTCAACCTGTGATCTGTGCAACGGTAAAGAACGATGTTCCATATTATAACCTCCGTAGTTCTCAACCTGTGATCTGTGCAACGGTAAAGAACGATGTTCCATATTATAGTTTATATTTAAAAAAATGTATTATTTCAAATTCACTAACTTGCATATTTAAGTCAGTGAAACATTTCACCATTCATACAGACCAGAATGTTATTTAGACCGGTATATATTTAAATAACTTACGTTTAGCGACAGTTCATAGTAGAAGAGAGTAAGTACAAATACAATACACAGAAAAACCTATAAATATGCATAACGGGGGTTCTAAAGGTTATGAAAATATAATATGCAAAATGGCACGATGAACAAAAGTATTTTTATTCTTTACATGAACACCATCTTTCATTCCGACTTGTCAGATTCTGAATCAGACTGACGTTGTCAATTCACAAACACATCTTGAGTACAAATACTTTTGTAACACATCTGATTTTTTTGTGTACGACAGACTGCACATTTTAATAAAAGCTTATCACATTTCGTAAAGTGTGTACATAGTGAATTCGGATTTAAAGCCAACATTCTCCAATTCTCCAACATAGGGTCGGTCCATTCGATTAATAGCCCACCTCTGTATTCTATCCAACTTGCCCCCACCCCGGTGACTTAGTGATAACTCTGAAGACTTATAACTCTATGAAGAGGACTTCGATACTTGCGGCGTGCAGAGACAGCTATCCCATTGTATAGCGTTTTAACTAAATAGATAGCTAGCTGTGATCGAAAGTCATGGTATTAACATATTTTATGGATGGTTCTACATTAAATTTAAAGGCAGTAAAGTTGAAACTTGACATTTAGAACTCGCTTTAAATTAATTTTATGATATTGTGTTTATAATTAAATGTTTTAAGTCATAAGAATACGTTGAAATTTATAATATTTTCGTTAATAAGTGTGATTAGGTTCTCACTGTTATAACTAATTTTACACAACAATTTCCATACAAACCAAATCAATGTAATTGTAAATTGTATAATTAGACATAACTTAGTGTGTAAAGACTATTTTGTATATACTTGAAACGTACTTCCAATAGTGCCTTCCCGGTCAGTTTTACCACAGTTAACCTTATACGTAGCAATGCTTAACGTAGATATAAAAGTTTTGCCTTGCTTGTGATTGTTGTGCTTCTCAGAGGAAATAGAACTCTTTCGTAGCTCGTAGATTCAAATTCCTTCCCAGGTAAATTGGTGCAAAAGACTAATGAGTATAGGGTATGCTGGTTAGAGTTCTCATCGGTCAACTACATTATGGGAGTAATTCCCTCGCATCATAAAATTGACCTAGTGGTTTGAAAAGAAGGAAGCTGCTACGCTCATTCAATCGCATGATCATTCTAATTATTAATTAAGAAAACCCGTTGTGTATTTTTGTGCTTACAACGGTGTTGCTGAACTATCGGTCCGTGGGATTTCACGAAAACAAACAAAAGAAAAACAGATAGAATATTTATGTATAAATCGAAATAGTTTTTCGTTGTACATAACAGTTTCGGGAGGCAGCGAGCCCGCCCCTGGTTGAGAAACGCTGCTTTACAACAAACAATAAAAACATGTGTTATGCAGGTAAAGTGATCTACATCCTACTTTGTGATATTTTCCCACAGTTAGTTATTACTTGAGATTTCTTGTGAGGAGACTCCACAACATTTTCTAATCAGATTGTTTTTAACAAACATCGTAACGTATCTTTAATTAACTCTGAGAAATATCTTGTAACTATGTTCGGTATAATCTTTCATGTTTACGCATTCAAGATAGTAAATTTATGTTGTATTTTTTGAAGTAGATGGCGCTTGTTACTTGGTATAGGTAGTACAGATATATCGTGGGTTGCAACTGGAGTAAAGAGAATAGGTCCTTATGGCATATGCTACTATGGCGGCTGAGAAAGAAGGAATGAGTGAGGTAAGGTATCTACAGAAATTAGGATCACTTAAAAAAATTTGTTTAAATATGTGTTGCTAATTTCCTTGTTTAAATATTATTGAACATTTTCTGCGGAATATAGTAAGCTGGTTGTCTGAAAAAAATATTGGTTTATCTTCAGATAGGCCTTGCTTTGCCCGTTGACCGGGTGTGACCTGCTTAGCTTAACTGTTAACGACACGTTAACATTTTCGTAAAGTAACGTTAGGCTTCAGATGTGAAAACTAGGTTTGTGTACGCTAGCCATATTTCACGTTGATTTAAACAAAAAATATAATATATTTTGCTTTTGAGGTTCGTACTTTGTTGGAATTCGGAAACAAGTGCACTCCATAAAATCCTAGTTATAATTATTTCAAATGTGAAATACTTAAAATAGTGTTTCAGTGTAAGTTATTTTTAATTTTAGGTTAGATTTATTGAATTGAGTGTATTTCTTTGTTACTTTTATGAAAAATAATTCAGCATAATATTAAATTTAAGATGTGTATTCCTTGTTGAGTGATGCCAACAATTAGAATATAAGGCCTTACCATTGATATTTGAGTATGTAATTATCTTGCATTACATATTTGTTTTAAAATTGGGACCACACCTTTGAACTTGACATTTTATGTTACGATGTATAATATCACAGCAATTATAAACTGTTTTAACTGCTGCACTTATTGAAGTTCCATGCTGTGTCATTTATATATTGTCGGGTAATGAATATGTTGGTTAGTCTTTTTATACATTACCTTTTCTAACACACAAATAGCTTGCCATGAATTCTTGATCAGAATTAGCAAAGGTACCCTACAATCAATTTCAAAAGTTATAACAGATCAAGACAGGTGTCAAATTAAAAGTAATATTTGTCGTATAATGTTTGAATGTAAAAAATATGTCAATTCTACAGATGTGTAACAGGTGCATTTAGGCTTTTAACTTTAAAAAAAAAGTTAATGACATGGATATGTATCTAATGTAATTCTAAAAAAAAAAGATTGATTGAAAGTAAATATTTGATCCAAATAATTGTTGACAATGAAAAACATGCTTACATGCTTGTTGGTCCATCTAGGTAGTCCCACCCATGAAACTAAACTTTTTGGAAAAAAATTGTCATCCATTATTCAAATATTTTTCAAGCCTTCCCTTAAAATTATTGCTTTCACCACATCTGAAGACAACCCTTTCAAAAGCTAATTACTCTGTTGGAAAAAAATAAAACTGTCTTAATTGAAGATGACTCTTACCCTGCAAAAAGTTTTATTTGGGTTCACTAATCCTACCATTCTTACCATTAAGTATGAAAAAAAGGTGATTCATTAACACTACCAATTCCCTTAACGATATGAAACAACTCGGTCAGATCCATTTTAACTCGTCCTTTTTCAAAAGAAGATAATTTCAGAATTCTGAAACTGTCCTTGTATGACAACCTTTCCAACCCACGAATAAACCTAGTACCCCACCTCTGAACTCTTTCTAACAGTTCAGTGTCCTTCCTAAGGTAAGTAACCCAAGACTGAACACAATATTCCAAATGTGGTCTAACCAATGACCTCTACGATGAAATTATAACCTCTTTAGACTTGTATTCAATATTTCTGTAGATACAACCTAAAATCCTATTTGCCCTACCACTAGCAACAGCACACTGCTTGGATGATGTAAAATACTGATCAACCAGGACACCATGATTATCTTCCATATTAGGGTTATTTTCATTACTTTGTATTTGTTATAATCAAAAGCCATCTACCACTTATTTGTAAAACTCACAAATGGTCTGAAACATTTTGTAAAGCAGCAGCATGTTGTTCACAGCCAGTAACAAATTAATGTTATCAACAAGTTTAAGTAACGTATGCATCTTTCATTCAACTAATCAATATTAGTGTTTCTGATAAATATTATTGTTTTAACTATTCAACTGTCCAAGTCTAATGAGAATAATTAGTTGAATGTAATTGATTAATGGGCCCGACTTTCAATTGATTATCAAATTCTACTAATCACCCAGCTCTATTAATATTTATTTTTTGTCATGTGTGAACTTTTTTTCTTTTTTGAACCATCAGATGATTTGGTATTAATTTATAATGGAAATTTTGATAATGAGCTCATAAAAAAATTAACAATGATTTAAAATACATAAGGAAGTGGTTTAATAAATATTATGTTAAATGTAAATAAAATGGTCTACATGAGATTTTCTCTAAAAAAAAATCTAGTCGAATAATTTTAAATGAGCCAATAATTTATGAGAATTGTATTTGCAAACATTTATCTGTTAAAAAAGATATGAATAATAATTAAATTATACAAAAGTCAAAGTGTCAAGTGTGTGTGTTGGAATAATATTAGATCATAGATTAAATTGGAAAGAACACATAAAAATAATGGAGAAAAAAATTAAAGATATCGGCAGAAGATTTTATTATACATAAAAAATATTTATCTAAGAATGAAATGAAATATTTATTGTGCTTGGTTTGATTTAATTATATAATATGGTATCACCTATTGGGGTGTTACCTACCTGACAAACGTAAGAGGTATAATACAGTTACAAAAGAATATTATAAGATGCATATTATCATTATCACAACATGACCGTACTAAATTACATTTTAAAAATTTAAATATACTACCATTGTGAAAATTATATAATTGTAAAATACTAAATAGATTTAGTTAAAGATATTCAAAATTAGGAAAAAATAAAATTAATATTTGAAACAAGAGCTGAAGTACATGGGAACTTAAAAACTTCCTAAAGTAAGCAAGGAAATATTTAGAAAAAGTTATTTGTATCGAGCACCAAAATTATATGATAATATTCCAAAGGAAATTAGATCACTGTTTAGAATAAAAATTAAAAACTTTGTATGTTAGCATTAAAGAAATGGATAGCTAATATAGAAGGACCAGAGAGTATTATTTAAAGTTTATGCATTATATGAAAAAAAATAAAAATAGGTCATAATGTAAATATTTTTGTAAAGGAAACATTAATGATTTATTTATGGTTCAATAATATATTTATTGAGAATCCACAATTGAGAAATCTTGAGGATCATTTTTCTTTTCCATGTTTTATATTATTTGTATTGTGTATTTTGAATTAAATTGAATTGATTATTTTGTCCTTCAAAGAATCGTAGCTTATACTTTGAACATGATATATAAAGTAAAGAATTTCATGTTAACATGAGTTGTATTTATATGTACAAATCAGTATTTTCAACAAAATGCTAATTCATTAACATTAATGACTTTGACCATTTAGTAACAAAGAGTTTTTCTAATTTGTAATTGCTGTGTGGATTGGTGTGTTTTTGATGTTGATTTTAGAAAGATAAGATTATTATTATTATTTCATAGGGAGATCAATCCACCAGCCAGGAGGTGGAACAAACAGCAGAAGGTGAGAATCTGAGTCCTGAAATGTTAATCAAACACCCTCTTCAAAACAGGTGGAGCCTTTGGTTTTACATGAATGACAAGAGCAAGGCTTGGGAGGAGAATCTATTGGAAATTACTTCCTTTGACACAGTTGAAGATTTTTGGGCGTAAGATTTTTAATTTGTATATGAACACTAAAAAGTTTTTATTTGAGTAAGGTGTGCTATGGAATTTTTCATACTTCTTTAGTTGTATTGTTTAACTGTTTCTCTTTTTATCACAACTGAAAATTTCATGCAAACAAGCTTGATCTGAACCATGAAAAACAGAGGTTTATTACTTATAGTAATTATATGTCGGCGATCGTACCTATGCAACAAAATGCACCCGATTGTGGAAGGTTTGAGCATTTAGTGTATGTAATTTTTTATTTTGTTATAGTTAATTACATGTGCTCAGTACCTGCTAGACATACCCAATGTCTCGTCATAGAAAAAAAACTTCTGTAACTTTAAAACACTGTAATATATCATGTAAGCATTTTTCACACACAAAAGTAATATCTAAAGAAACTTTAGGAAGATTCTCAGACTTCTGTGGTTTGTTCCTAAGTTCTTCTAAACTTTCCGTTAGATTCCTTTGTTCTTCCCTGCAGGAGCTCCTTTTAATCACTTTTTGATAAAACCACTTTATTTACCCTGCATATAAGCCTAAACTTTGAAATGGGTTGAAAATGTCTAGAGAAACATTGAAAGCGTAAAAAGAAATTAAACTTATATCCTCTGATGTATTAACTCTAGCTTTTTTTTTTATAAAATCAAGTTTTATCTGTGGTTGATTTTAATGTTACATTTCAGATATAATACTTTCTGTACACTTGTGATTTTTTTGTTACAGGTTATATAATCACATAGAGGTGGCTAGCAAGTTAAGAATGGGATGTGATTATGCGTTGTTTAAGGTAAGAAAGTATAATTCATATATTACATTAAATATATTTTAGATATTGGTGATCAAGGTGAAAATTACTTTGTTTATGAATTATGAAAGGTTTTATATATTTTAATACATTGTATGTTCATCTTTCCCCCAAAAAAAACTAAGATATAATTCATACAATAGATACTTTGAGATGTTTTTTACATTTTCATGGCATGTCATGACAGTACAATAACACTTTACTGAGATTTCTTTGTTCATAAATTAACTGGTCTAAAACAGTTTTACTTCTAATATTTTAAACAAGCAATTTTGAAAACTAATTCCTCGTGTGAAATCGCTTTCCCTCCGACAATATTGAAAGATTCTTTTAAATTGTATAATACTGATAAAGTGTTTATACAAAACTGGAGATGATCAGTAGCTTGGGTTGAATTACATCTTTCTGAACATCTAAAAAAAAAAAAAAAAAAGCAATTCATACAAGTAATATAAATATATTTTTCAATGCCAAAGTTTAATAGAAACTAAATCTAAATTTTGTTCTAGAATAACCATTAACTAAGTTGAGCTTCCAGTATTTAGAGAATACACTTTTATTGTTTGATATTTTAACATCATATTGCCTTTAACTTAGTGTGAATGTGGAAAATGATTGATTGAAGAGTATTGCATTGTAAATTATGTTATAAACTAGTTTAGATTTTTAAATGAAATTGAAAGCAAACTATGAAAAAAGGAGTAAAAAGTGCATAATAGTAGCTGGCAAGCCAGTGGTTCTGTAAGTAAAAGCATTTAAACACTGGTAAAAGAATGGAATTACAACTTAGTTAATACCTTATGATTAATGTAAAGACCAAAAACATAGTAACTTGTGGGTTATTTGAAGTTGATGGAAAGAGAACCTAATTACTTATAAGGCACAAAATTATAGTTTATTCAAATTATAGTACATCCAAATTCAAGTTGTTTGGCAATATTCAATGATGTCATTCATTGGCAGGGAAAATAATAGCATCGTGGCCAGTGTTTACAGTGAAGCATTCTGGGATACCAATATAAGTGTGGGTTGCGTATCAGTCAATGTTATAGGAGTTTTAAAAAAAAAAAAAAAAAAATAGATGGCACCCTGACTGCATACTGGTACATATAGATTCTTATCCACCATCATTCCAGTGAACTGGTGGTAAAATGATACCTGGAAGGATAAAAAAGAGGCTCTAATAATACTTACATTTATGGCTTGGCCTGAACAATGTCCCAATATGAATGTTATTAAGGCTGTATAAGCTTTTGTGGAAACTGAGAAGATAAATTGGCAACCAAACAACTTGGCTGAATTCTAGGGAGTAATACAGAATACTTGGAACAATATTTCTCACTAATTCATTTATACTAGTGCAATACACACCTTCATTTTTGTATTTTCTCTAATAATTATTTACAAAACATTTTCACATTATACATGTTCTTATTTCCAGTTCTTAGTTTTTTTCCACCTAAGATTACCTAATCTGTGTTGTTGTTTGTTTTTGTTCTATTTGTGGAAAATAGGTTATAACACATTTCTTTACCTGAAGAGCATTGTTGTTTAGGAACACTTGATGTTATTTCTTCCAGAATCCTTGTAGGTGTAACCATCGTAGTAAAATGAAGCACTTGTTTGACTTAGCCTACAATTAACCATGGATTCTAACCTACAGTTCAGTTTTATTGAAGTTAACAATTGGTATTGGTTTCAGTTTTTCAAAGGAAATTATTACAAAAGTATAACTTAGTTTTGGGAAGAAAAAAAAAACAGTTAAGGATTCAGTCTTCTTTGTCTTTCCTTCACTGGAAGGTCTCTAGTTTTTTGGTCATTGATAAATGACTTTGATTGTGTAACTCATATCCTTGTTTTTGGTATGTGATCCATAATGTATACATATCATTCTCACATAGACACAGAGAGAGAGTGCATGTTTACACATCTGACAATTAATCGTAAACACTGAAACTGAATCGTTTCGCATTAGGCACTTGTCAGGTGATTTATTGATTTGCCAAATTCCTTGAACATTTATGCTGTAAATTGCTTATTTTACTGTGAACAGTTTAAAGCAGGTAAAAATTGGTAATTTAGTAAGTTGAGAACGACTGAAAAAATTAGTTCAGTTCATACAAGATGTGTGTTTATGAAGACATGAAATTGAAATGTTTATGCTCATCGTGGTCCAGTGGCTATTGTATTGGACTGCAGGTCAAAAGATCCTAGGTTTGAGCCATGATGCTATTAAATATTAAAGTGACAGTAAATTTTTATTTGGTTTAAAGAGCCTGGCAAAGCCCTTGTTGTAGCTGACTGGTTGCCCTCCCTCTGAACAGCTATACTTGAATCTTAATATCTGACTTGTCCAGTCAGTCTGTATGTGTATACGATGCTATTCAGATTGTAAGTTTAAATTTTCTTTTTTTTTTTAAGCAGTGCATTAATAGTAGAAAAATTACTTTTGTCATGTTCTTAAGTGATCGTGTAGTTTGGGGTGGTGTATTTAATCACCTAAAAAGTCAAGTTATATCATTTACTTTTTTCAACCAAAAGTCTACTAGTTGTTCAGTTCTGGAATTTTTTTCTTTCTCTCTCACTACAGATTATGATGTTATAGGGTAATGTGTTTCATTACCAAATGCATATTGTTATTATTCAAAATGATTTTTGTTTCAGTTTTTAGGAATTTGCTTCTTCTGCCCTTAATGAAGCTCTTGTGCCCAATACAAAATCTCAAGCCATTTTAAGTTGTGCTCACTCATGAGTATGTTATAACCTTCTGTCTGACCTTAATGATTGTCTACAGAAGTATTTCCATCATACAGTTGTGATAGAACTTATCGTTACATGAGGGTTATTCCTTGTATTGGACATGTTGTATCATCAGAACTTTTAAATATTTGTTTTTACCTGTATTAAATCTATAGATTTTATTTTTTACATTTTGTGACTCAAAGTTCTTAATATGAATATTTGTTCACTGAACTATTAGTGGTTGTTCCTTTTTAGTTTATTAATATTAGCAGACTCCCATGCAAATTAACTTCATTATATAACTTCTCATTATAGTTGAATTAAAATCTGTTTTGGTAGCAAATGAAGGAAGCTTCATCTGCCCAAGAGCTAATTCTTAGTACTTGCTAACTCTTGAGGCAGATTTTATCCCCTTCAAATTGAGATTTTGGTAGGTTTCATATATTTGCTGTTGCTATGTTTTATTACAAGAATACAAATACACATCACTGGCTTAGCATGCACTTTCTGAGTGCATGAATGGGTAACATTGTCTCCACCTGGAATAATGTTGAAGTATTGTTGCTAATCCATCAAAAGAGGGAAGAACTTGTTAGCAATTTATAATACAGCTTTTTGTGGTAATTTGTAGTTGTTAATGCTAAAAGGATAATATTACCAAATCTCATGTTGTTAACAAAATACCTTTAATGTTGTTATTCTTTTACTTGTTAGTTTTTAGTGTCTAACTAAATCATTTTGGAAGTTGATTTATTGAAGTTTCAAGGAACCCATGTTTTCTCTTTTAGTATGGGATTAAACCTATGTGGGAAGATGAAAGAAATAAAAAAGGTGGAAGATGGTTAATAAACCTCAATAGAAATCAGCGTTCTTCAGACTTAGATGCTTACTGGCTAGAAATTGTGAGTACTTTTGTTAATTCATAATTAAAACTTTTAGCTGAGGGATGAAAGTTGCATTCGTTTCTTCACTGTAACTGTTGGTAGTGTTGAATTGTACTGAAATATTAATTAATGACATGTAGAACTTTAGTTAACAATATGTGACAAAACCATCATTCTAAAGATCGACGTGCATACCAGCAAGATATCCCATAGTGCAATTCAATTTCACAAACAGAGTTGATCGATTAGCGGTATTTGCTAAATAGTTGATCAATGGGCTCATTAATTGATTAGTACAGTTTTGATGACAACATGGTACATGTTTCCCCATATGTAGTGGACATCATTAGAACTGTATAAGCAGTGGTTCTCAACCTTCTTGCCACCAAAGACCCTTTTTATTATTGTTTTCCCTCATGGACCCAATTCTGTGTCCTTCCATGTATTATTTAATTAACCCTTTCATAGTGGGCTTGGTATAATATACACGGGTTCATATACACATTTGCACGCTTTAAGGTTTTATACTATTTAATTATACTTTTAATTCAGTATGTGCATCTTTACAAAATTTGATATAACTTTAGTAAACATTACATGTCTTTTGTGCACCAAAAATCAAATTTTTTAATGAAGTATTTTTACTAAAGATTTGTTTGTGAATATATAGCGTTACTAGTCCTAGTGAAAGTGATACTTGTGTTATGATTAAAGATACTATTTTTCATCCCAAAAATCTCATATTTCTTTTGTGTAATCTTTAAAACCTCTTAAATACATTTCAAACACTTGTTTTCAGTAAAACTATATATTATCAGTTATTTAATGATATAATTGAGTCTTCAGCCTGTAGACAAGTCCCGAAAGTATAATGAAAAGACAAGTTGTAAAATTATAAATAAAGAAGCCTTTTTTTATTATTGATCACGAAGTTTCAAAGTACTTCTCTTACGAGTTTGATCTGCTAAACATTTCACATTTATTTTCTGTATTTAAGTAGACTAAAGTAGAACCCTGCTGAAAATGAACTAATAAATTACCTCTTGTGTCAGTAGACTGTTTATGCAACACCACCTTAATACGATATTCCTGAAAGCAACAAAGCACACGTGAAAAGATAGTCGACTTGACCCCCTGCTCCGAGAACAGATATCTGATGTATCGGATTATATATATACTAAAATGTTTCTTGGAAAATTCAGAGTATGGTCTTCAAATATACATTTTAGAAAGGAAAAAAAAAATATTACATCACTCTACTAGTACACCCAAAACATCTGTAACTTGCTTGGGTTTATAAATAAAGTATATATATTTGTTTAAAAAAATTGTTATCTCCATTCAGAGCAACAACTTGGTCATCAACATTCAACAGTTTTGGTGAAATTATTATTTTCTCTTCCA